CTCACCCACTGAGAAGGCAAGCAGTTTGATATAGGTCATACATGTGTAGTCATGCAAAACGTATCCATAATAGTCATGTTGTGAAAGAAACACGGACCAAAAAATCCTGCAGAAAAATCAAGAAATTAAATAAATAAAGTATGCTTCAGTCTGTATTCAGACAGCATCAGTCCTTTCTATGGGGATGGATACCATTTTTCATCCTAAGTCTTTCAGAGTTATCTTGGATCGTTGTATTGCTGAGAAGAGCCAAGTCATTCACAGCTGATCGTCCTACAGTAATACTGTTACTTTGTACATAGTATATGTCACTTTGCATCATCTCATGCAAGTCTTCTCAGGTTTTTCTGAGAGCATTCTACTCATTGTTTCTTATAGGTCTATAGTATTCCATCATATTTACATACCACAACTTGTTCAGCCTTCTCCAATTGATGGGCATCCACTCGATTTCTAACTGATTGCCCCCAGAAACGAGCTATTATAAATCAGTTTTTACATATACATCCTTTTCCTTTTTTCCGTGTCTTTTGGAATAGAGACCAAGTAGTGGTATTGCTTAGTCAAAGCGTAGGCATGGTTTTATGAGCTCAGCGATTTTAGAAAAACACGGAAAGACTTGCACGAAATAGTGAAAAGAGAAATGAGCGGAACCAACAGAACATTGTATACAGAAACAGCAATATTGTTTTAAGAATGACTTTGAGAGAATAAGGTATTTTGACCATTATAAATACTCAAATTAGCGATGAAGAAAGATGCTATCTGCATTCAGAGAAAGAGCTGATAAAAAGAAGTATGTATAAAATAATTTTACATGCATACCTACATACACACACTTTATTTGTGTCCAATGGCAGCCATCTTTAAGATAGGGGAAGGGAAGGAAAAAAAAGCAATTTATATGATAATTTTGTTGTATATTTGAAAGGAATAGCAAGTTGTGCATAGTAGATTTGCAGTTTCATGTGCAGTTTCATCTTTTTATTCTACTATCTTCTGAAAATGCTTTTTTTATTCCGTAAATTAAAATTAAAATAAACTTTAAAAGAAATTCTACTCAGCTCTGTTCTCTTCATGAGGAATGCTTGAAAATTCTCTGTTTCATTATACGTATGCATATATTCCTTCTGTAGAATTATATTCAGTTTTGCTAGGTAGATTGTGGTTGGTTTCAAGTCTATTTCTCTTGCCTTTTGGAATGTAGTATTCTAAGCTCTCCACTTCTTCACTGTGGTATTTTTAAGTCTTTTGTAATTCTGACTCGATATCCTTGATACCTGACCTGCTTCTTCCTGGCTCCTTGCAGTATTGTTCCTTTGACATGGAAGCTTTGGATTTTAGGTATAATGTTTCTGTGAGTTTTCATTTTGGGTTTCTTTTGAAATGTCATTTCTATTTTCACTTTGCCTTCTTATTCAGATGTGTTTGGAGAGTTTTCTTTCATGATTTATTAGAATATTATATCCAGACGTATTTTCTGTTCATGACTTTCAAGCAGTCCAATGATTCTTAATTTCTCTATCTTTTATCTGTTTTCCAGGTCAGTTTTTCTTTTTCTTTTTTAATATAAAGTACTTTATATTTTCTTCTTTTCTTCAGGCTTTTTTGTTGCTTAATTATTTTTAGTTATGTCTGCCTCTTTGTGACTTATTTTGGGGTTTTCTTGGCAAATATACTGGCAAAGTGGTTTGCCATTTCCTTTTCCAGCTGATTTTACAGATGAGGAAAGTGCAGTAAATAGAATTAAGTGACTTGTTCAGGGTCACACAGCTAGTGCTTAAAGTGTTTAAAAGCCTCCCGTGGTATTATAATAAATCAATTTTCATTTCTTTACTTACTTATCCACCTTTACTTCCCAGATGAGACTTTGTATAATGGCCAGGTGCCGTCCACCTCTGACAGCACTGCTGTAGCTTTGTATGATCCTGGCCTCTTCTATCTGGGCTGCTACTGCATTGTTTGAGTGTCAAGTGCTATGTTCTTCAAATATCACCAGCATGGCTTGAACCATGATGGTGCAAATTTTCAACCACCTATCAGAAATCTAATCAGTTATACAACCTGATTACTGTCCTCATGGACTTTCTAGGGCACAGAAGTCTTCTTACCTATGGGTAGCACTTTACTAGACATTAGTTGGCCTGAGCCCCTGTCAGATAGCAGAAAGGCTCAACATAGTAAGAGTGACAGTAGCACTGACCTAGAACTATAGTGTCTTGGGCGAACCCTCACCAATGTCCTGGCTTTGTTCTGGCCCTGGGGCTGAGTACCTGCCCACCTTAGTTGTCTTGCACTGCTGGTCCCATTCTATTGTGAGCTCTGAGGTCTGAATCCACGATCTAGGTCCCTCTGGACAATATCAGACGATTGGCCTGGGCCCAGGCTGCATCTTCTATCTGCTCTGTTTGATCCAATATTGAGGGCCCAGCCCTGTTCTTAGCCCTGGGGATTATCTGGTTGACTCTTTCAAGAAGGTATCTGTAATAGAAATTTGAGAAATTTCTGGGAGAGCACCTGAGCTTCCCCATTATTATTGTGCTGTAAGAAATACAGTGGTGCGCTCATATTTAACAGCTAATTCTCCAAGAAAAAGTAGTACACATGAAAGATTCTAAGTTTAAAGCACATTTTAAACATTTTCCCCATCACTGTCTTTAGTCTAAAAATCAACAAAACAATAAATCAAACTCTAATTTGTAGCATTTGCTGATTTCTGAGGTTAAATGATGCTCACACTGAAAATTTAATACTCACTTCACAGGTTTGAGCTGCCTTTAGCAGACTTCTGAATAAGGACACGTTGAATACAGAGAAACATAGAAAGGCTTATATGTACTGATTCAAAGTGAAGTAAAGAGAGCCAGAAGAACAATGTACACAATGACTATAATGTATGAATGGACAGAAACTTCATCAAAAAATTGAAACCGAACATTAAGAAATTATATGGAACAAATTTGGCCTCAAGGAAGAGATATGAGAAGAAATCTCCACTTGCTTTTGTTCAGAGATGCAGGCACATGTGTGTGGGATATTGCACATACCATTACATTTCTTTCTATGTATTGATTACTTTACTGAATTTCTTTCATCTACTTCCTTCTTTTCTTTTTCTCTCCTACAACAGTTATAAGATGGATTTCTGGGAGTCAGGAAGAGATAAAAGAAAAAATCTAGGCAATTTAAAAGCCATAATATCAATTAAAAATCTATTTTTAAATATTCATAGGGTATTTGAATTGTTTTCCTCATAGTTGCTTCTTTTGAGAAATCTTATATGACTTGAGCATGGGAATGGAAAACATTTTATCAGAAAAGGGAATTTTAGGCCATAATTTTCTTTCCTGTTGCCTCTCCTTCCATCCCTACTATAAAATCAGGGCAAGGATAGTGTTAAATTCTTAAGATACATCTAGTTCAACTAATTCATATTGAGGCCATGAGCACTTAACTTTTCCGATGCTAGTAATTACCCAATGGTAATTAGCAACTATGATATTTAGAACCCTTCATGTTAAAGATGAGGGGAATGAGGCCCAGTGAGGTTAAATAACTCATACAATGTCACACAAATAGGAAACAAGACCTGTGTGCCCTAACAGTCTTCTTGCACTTTCACGTTCAACACCTTAAACCCTCCCTAGGCTCTAAACTATCCCTTCTCTGGAACTATAGATAATTCATGCCATTGTATAGTGAGGACTTGAGTTCAAATTCTAATTCCCCTACTCACAAGTGAAGCCCCTACCTATAGAATCCTAAGCTCAAAAGACTGGTAATAGCATTGCCCTGCTTCTTGAGTCATATGAATTTCTAATTAAGAACATAGCTGAAGTGTTAGAGTACACTTAATAAAGAATTTTACGAATGCAATTAAAAGAACTTTAAACAGAAGAAATAGGAGAGGACCAGAGATTCAGATTTGAAAAGGACCTTAGAGGAAGGGACCATAGAATCCAACCCCTTCAATTTAGAGCTAAGTAAACTGAGCTACAGATAAGATTTGCTCTGTTTGACCTTAGAGGGAAGAATCTGGAGCAAGTGAACTTTCAGAGGTAAAATGAGGTTTGATGTAAGTTAAATTTTCCTAATTATTAGAGCTATCCAAAAGTAGAACTGGGTGCTTCGTGAGTGGTGGCTTTCCCCATGTTGGACACCTTCAAAGAGCATTGGATGACCACTTGTCACAGCTATATGTTCTAGTACCCTGTGGGGATCTCTGCAGGGTATAGGTTACAGTAGGTGACCTCTGAGATCCCTTTGCAACACTCAGATTTGAGGTTCTTTGAAATAAGTTATGTAAATAATTTCTGGAGTGAAAGGCAGATAGTCTAATGGGGTCCTGGATCCCAGGAGATGTTTTTGAACTCTGGAGAATTCATTAAGATGTTTGGGCAAGAACACCTCTATTCCACCGTCTCTTCCAGGAATGAGAGCTGCAAAAAGGAGGCTGGTTTCTCTATTCTAAGTCCTGGTCACTTTTCCAATTCCTTCCTACCTTAGCCTTTCAACAAAATGAGGCAGTGGATGGAAAACCTTGATGACAGTTCACCCTGACTCCTAGTTTACTGCCCTGAACAACTCATCCATTCTGACCAATATGTGACTTCCTCTTTTCATGATGAACATGCATCCCACCACAGAGAATGACGTAGAAGTCGAAATGTAAAGCAAGTTCTCTATTTTGGGATTGTCACCTGCCTTACCAACTCCTTTAGGATTCCTCCCTACACGCCACAAATCTGATCCCTCTCACTGCAAGAAACTCCTCTTCATTAAAGCTGCAAGTCTCAAATGACAGAGAGGCTAACAGTGACATCTCTTTAATTTGCTTATCACTCATCTTGCCTCTCCCTTCTGGCAATGTGATCATCAATTATTGACTTTGGAGGATGCTTGGAAGCATCATGAGTAACATGTTCCAAACCACCTTTTGAAATCCGTCATGAGACTGAGTTTCCGGCTTCATCTGGCTGGTCTTACTATATAAGGGCCCCTGGTAGGCAGAGTCTTACAGGAGGAGGAAGAGAAGGAAATTCAGATTCCTGCTGCAACTCCTTGGAGACATCCAGGTGAGACCCACCAGCCCAGCTCTACCCTCTCCGGGGCCCTCGACTGAGGGCAAGAAGTCCCTTTACTGCTCACATCCCACAGGGGCCTTTAGAGACCATCCTGGCCCAAACCTCTTCATGCCTCTAATCCTAGCTTAGAGTATCAGAATGATATCAGTATCAGATGATATCAGGATGAATATCAGAATGAGGAATTTCTCAAGGATTTTCTTGTAATCCATTTGGTCATGTGCAACCAGTCTTAGTGAGGCTCTTTTAAATCAAACAGGGTTGATGGATTCCAAGGACAATAAACGTTTGCTGGGATTGTAAAAATTGACCAATATTGCTTTGTAAGTGACATAGATGCTGCTAAAACCTGACTGGGTCACCTTGGTCAAGTCCCTCTCTCTCCTGGAGTCTTAGTTCTTTTCTTTTCTCTATAAAATGAGACAGTTAGACTAGATCTTCTCTAAGCTCCTGTGTGGTTTGGACGTTTTGGTCAAAAATTCAATTTAAATGTCCTAGGACTTTAGAAATGAGGAACTGGAAGATTTCTCCATAAGAGCTTTCTCTTTGAGCTAAAGGATGAAACCTCTAAAGCTCTAGTTGATTCAGTTTACTTGCTGTCAGGATGATGTGTAAGGCTTACTACCCTACGTGATCCAAGCTACAGAGTGAGTGACTTTGACTGGAGCCCAAACACTTGCTTGTATATTCAGAAAGGGGCTGCAAACAGAATAAAAATCATTGGGCCATGTATTGATTTCCAGACATTTGTACAAGACCTTGAGGTTTGTACCGCTGGGATCCTAGAATGTCAGAGTTGGACCACGCAATAGTATAATTCCTGATGCAGAGTCAGTGTTAGGGATGCAGGAGGGTCTTAGGACTTCTGACTCCCAGGTCATTTACCCCACACCACGCATCCTGTCTGACTATGCAGCTCTGACAGTAGCATGACTTCATGGGAACCCCAGGAGAACTAGAGGAGAGTCATAGGAAGCAGGCACTGATAATATTATGGGGAGTTGCTAGAAACATGAAATCAGTGGTTTTAATTTTAAAAAAAAGTGAAAATGGTACTCTGCATGACAAATCAGAAATATCTGGAATTCTCTCCATAAGGACTGGCAACAGATGGAAAATATGGATTCAAGAAAGACTGATAAACTCAAGGGGTTTTCATCCATTTTGTATAGAGAAACATGTCATGTGGGAAGGGTCTAAGATGGGTGTGTGTGTGAGACAATACCCCACCATGCTCCCTCAAATATTCCACACGGAGGTTCAGGAGAGAAATTGTCCTCAGCTGGAAGTACTGGGAGGGGTTTGGAGGTGGAAGGGACATGGATTTCTTCTCTTCTTTAGTCACCATGTTGTTTTAAGTCTTTATCTTTGCCTTAGTCTAAATAGAACTAACCATGTGATTCTTTAGAGAATTCTAACAATCCTAAGCATGTATAGAGGGAGAATCCTACTTTCAAGCTGTGTCCCAATGAATATATTGTCAAAAATAATGGCTTCTTCTTTGCATATTAGACATGAAGACCCTGATGCTGTTAGGACTTGTGCTCTTGTGTGGCCAGTTCTCACTGAGCTTGGCCCAGGAGGAAGAACAAGGCTCAAAGGTCATCTCAGAGGTTGCTGCTAGTAAGTTCCCATCTTACTTAGGCCTGATCCCTTTCCAGGAGACCCCAGGCCTGAAGTGAAAAGACCACTGGGACAGAGGGCGATAAGAATAGGAGATGTCTGTGACCTTGGGAGGTAGGATGGGAGGAGGTTGTTGGTGAGACCACGATTGGCAAAACCTTGGAGCCAGTCCAGGGGAAGAGGAGAGGAAGAGAAGGGCCTACTGATTCACATATAACCTCCTCCTCAAATATCCTCATCACCACAGACGTTGAGATGGTGCTGACTATGCAGACATTTACATAACTGACATCAACAGAGGTCAAGTGATCTAGCCAGGGTCACACAGTTAGTGTCTGAAGCTAGGATTGAACTCATGTCTTTCTGACTCCAGGCCCAGGGCTCTCTCCACCATGCCACTTAGCTGCCTAGGCAGAGGGAAGAGTAAGATCCCTCCCCTTCCACAAGACGTATGAGTATGTTTGCTTCTACCCATCTGGGAGAACGTGGCTCAGTGTAGCCTTGGGTTTGGAGTCAGAGAATGTGAGTTCCATCCAGCCACTAGGCTAGGAAAGCTGTTCTTCTTTTCTGTATGACATAGAACAAGTCTCTTCCTCTCTTGAGCCTCAGAGGTTTCATTCCTAAAAGGCTGCTGGGGCTGGAGGAGAGTGCCATTGAAAGTGCTCAGACATTGGATGTTGGGATATGGGTCTTGAAAATGAATGAGACCAACCTATTTCTAGCATCATAGGAGCAAAGCCAATAGAGCTGTGAGGGACAGTGGAGGGTAAATAATCCAGTGTCTCACTTGCATGAGGAGAAACCTGAGGCCCAGAGAGAACCAGACAACTAGGTAGGAAGTAGCCAGCAGAGCTGGGCTTCAAATCCACTTCCTCGGACCCCAAATCCAGGGCTGCCGCCATGACATCAGCATGCCCTCCTTCCTCTCTAAGCAAGAGTCAAACTTGAAATCCTTTTCCAGGTATGCAGAATAGTCTGAAAAATGCTGTGGAAGACCTCAGCAAGCTGGACTTGATAAAAGAACTTGAGAACACACCAGTTATTGGAGATGTCCTGAAGACAACGAAAATAATTGTTGGGAATATAGTTTCGTGAGTCCATCTTTCTGATAAAGTCATGCTCCAATTCAAATGTGGGCATCAAGCAATCTCCCAGAGTGGGACTTAGGACAGCACAACTTAGAAAAGAGTTTCAGTGAATAGAGGGAGGCGTTCAAGAACCCATCTATGGAGCAATGGGGCAAACCACAGGAGACAGGTGGGGAGCGGGATATTGACAGCTGGACCCTCCTCCATTGGATCTGCTTAATCATGCCTCCATTTCCCATGGTGATCTCAATGGCCTAGATTAGACATCGGATTATGGCTGCGCACCAATGTCCTCGTTCAAAATCTGTGATTCATTTGGGTGAAAACATTTTCTTTTCTGTCCTCAGAGACCACTTATCTGTTTAAGAGAGGAGTAACATTTAGGAATGGTTGGGTTTGGGGTTGAAGATGTGTCAGGAAAGGGTTTGGTCTATGAAAGTTATTAATTAGTGACACCTCTCTCTCTCTCTCTCTCTCTCTCTCTCTCTCTCTCTCTCTCTCTCTCTGTACAGGTTCAACATTAACCATGCCCAACTCCTGAAAATTTCCCTTCAAGAAAATCAAGACACAGAGAGTCTCTCTCTCAGCGTGCCCTTGGATGTCTCTCTGAGTTTGAACACGTAAGTGATTCTTCTGAGTCCTGCAGGGCCCATTCAATGGCATGTGGAACCTTGGAGGGGGTATTCGCATGGCACAACCAGATCTCTATAGTTGCAGTGTTTCCTGAGCAAATCCACCAGGATGAAGTTGGCAAGCGAGCAAGGCAAAGAGAATGGAGGGAGGCACACTATCTCACAGGGTTATTGGAAGGAAAGTGCTCTGGCAATCAAGAATCACCAGGGAAGTGTGCAGAATTCCTATGACTGCTATCATTCCTGTGAGCTCATTCTGCTCATCTTCCTTGATGGAGATCAGGAAGAAGCAGTTTAATGACAAGATACAAAGCTGCTCTTTTTCTTTTAGGGTCATTTCAGAGCACGATAAAAAATCCCTTTCTGTACATGACTAGGAGTACCACAATTCTTAATGTCTTCATGTTGGGATGCTCATTACTTCTCTGGCCAGCACCTCATTTCTGGTTTGGGTTGGGAAGAAGAGACTAGAATTGGCCATATGTCTTTCTTGCCTAACAAGGGGAAGCAGCAGAATCTTGGGGCAAGGATTTTCCCTGTGATATTGAGCACTGTGCAAAACCTCTGTTTCCTTCTCTATAAAATGGGCATAATAACATTGAGTCTGTCAACCAAGCAGGTCTCTCATGAGAACCAAATAAGGGAATAAATAGAAAAGTGCTTTGTTAAAGGCTTGCAAAGGGAGTCTCAAGCTGAGTCAATGTGGGAGATGTTTAGGATCGGTACTGTTTTCCCGGGTTTGGGTCCTCAGTTTACCTTCCTCTCTCTTTAGTTTCCATGATGACATTGGGTAAACAGTGGGATTCTTTTTCTACATTCCATATCTTCTTTCTTTAGACGGCTTTTTAAGACGATTGATGTCTCTCTAAATGCGAAGACATCACTTGAACTCACAACTGAAAAGGATGAAGATGGAGGAGCTCACTTGGTTGTTTCCAAATGTCAGACAAGCCCTCAACTTCTTGAAATCTCAGCCAAGAGAACGTGAGTCACCCAAGAGCTGTGTGTGTGTGGGGGGTCCCTGGTAGCATCTAATTCGTGTACTTGGTAGATACACTTCTGTGTTTCCATTCCTTCGCCCCACGGCCCTCAAAGAGGATGGGGCACTCTCCTGGGTCACAGGAGACCTCATTTCATGTCTTCTCTGGTACACCAAATCCCAAAAGGGATCCCGGGGTAGCTTGCAAAATGGACATTTTCTGTCTCGGTCAGAGAAACATCATACTAAGGACACCATGTAATATGGAGTGGGAGGATTGGGGAAACGAACGGTAAGGATGAGGTCTGGGGACTCTGCCGAAGAAAAGCTAATTTCTTCTAAGAGAGGGAACAGAAAAGAAGGCTTGCCTAACTGCAATGGAGGGAGTGATATGGGCCAGGACAGGGACAAGAGAGTTACAGGAATGATTTCAGGATTGGGCTAGAGACTGTATGCTCCAAATGAGAAGATTTAAAGGGATGTTAAGGTCCTGAGGGGCCGGACCATAGTGTCTTTTCCTTGAGTTGATGTAAGCATCTGAGACAACAGGGAAAATGATGAAGTGGGAGACACAAATTGTGGATTTGTGCTCGCACCTTTGTCATTTCTTCTCCATTGGACATCAGCCCAGTCCCCATTCTTCTGGGGCCTGATTCAGGTTTATAAAATAGGGTCAGTTTTTGCCACAAAGCCATCGTGATTCTTCTGAATTGGGTCACACAGGAAAAAGTGCCTTCTATAACGGTCTAGCCCTCTCAAACTTCTGAGATTTTATTACGAATGCCTGTATTTCTCTCTTCCTTACTTTCTTCTCTCGTAAGAGATACACACATGATCCACAGCCTGTTAGACTGTGAGCTTCACGGGTGTGAGGCCTTTATTGATCCTTCAGGATCCAGAATACTTCTCTGCTCACGATAGCTACTGTATAATCATTTTCTGAAAACAAGAATGAAGCTTCTCTGGGACTCTGGCATCAGAATGACAGACTTTTGGGATAATTGTTCCATTCTGGCTCGAGAGGCTTTTAGCTCTGACCCTAAACCGGCTCCAAAGACATGATGGAAAACTCTATCACACTCTCCCTACCTCCATCTAATACATACTACTCCCTTTGGGCAAACAGAACAAGAGTGGACATGGAACTCCAGCTGGGCCAGCACATGTGGGCTCCAGCCTCTGTTTGAATACTTAGCATCCCTGTGACCTCAGATGACCCACTGACCCTCCGTTTCCTCACCTCTAGAAATGAAGGGGGTTTGAGTGAATGCAGTTTCATTCCTTAAGCATTTCTCAAGTTTCTCCTAAGTGTCTGGTGCAGGGTTGGACTAAATGACTTTGAAAGACCCTTCCAATTAGGAATCCTATAAATGAATATCCTGATACAAGAGGGCTTCTCTCTGGCTCCGGGAGACAGACTCTGTCCAGAAGCACCCAACCTCAGGTCTCAGTTATGTTTTCCTGGCTGAGTTAGTGAGACTTCTCACAGGGACAGAGCAATCCTGCCACATAGCACTTCCCTGGGGCCTGCTGAGCTGTTTCCCATAGGGTTAGGAAGCTTCTGGAGGGAGGGGATTTACCTGGGATCGTCGGCCACTGGCAGCACACTGACGCTCAGTTTCTTCTTCCTTTAGGGGGCTCTTTGGGCTGGGAGTAGAAGTATCTGAGACCGTGAGCAACCTGGCTCAGCTGACGGTCAACCAATTAGTAAGTGTGAAGATTTGGTCTGATTACTTAAAGCCAGATTTGTTGTTTTTAGACAGTGCAAAGAGGACTCAACTAGGAGTCCCAAGGCTGGGGATCTGGCCTATGTTTGGTGTCTGCCTTATGGCGTGGAGTGAGGTGAGCCCCTTCCCCTCTTTAAGATGGTGGGTGATTAGGCAAGATTGTGTCTAAGATTCCTTACAGTTCTGGCATCCACCCTGTGGCCTACTTGCTGTCCGTGAAGTCAGGCTGAGCTAAACATTCTCAAGTGTGATGGGTCCACAGGCCCAATTCCAGGTCAGCTAGGCTTGGTGATGACCCCTGTTGCCACCTTTACCCTCTGGCCCTGTTCCCTTGCCTGATGCCCTCATGCTCATCTATCCCTCCTGCAGGCCTGCCCTTTGATCACAACTGCAGTAAAATTGGTGCCTCCAGCACTGGTAGACAGCTTGCAGAGTAAGTATCTGCTCTCGCCAATCCTTCTCCTCTATCTACGATGGGCTGAGTTACCCAGACTAACTTCCTTTGTGCCGTCATTGAACTGGAGTTTTAAGGATTTCATACCAAGAAGAACTAGTAGCCTTGACTGCTTATTGTTACTTTTTTCTTATAGTTCTAACCTGCCCTCTTCCCCAATGGAGTGACTGAGAACTGAGTCAAAGCAGCAGGTGGATGACTGTTCCTTAGACGTCTTAGAATTCCCAGGAAAATCCTGGTTCAGAGCCTCCAGCCCTCTGACTGCCAAGGGGCTGGCCACAGTCTATGATATTCAAAGGTTTCCCGAGCTGTGAGAACTAAATTGTCCCATGCTCCCAAGCATTCTGCCTTTCTCAAAATTCAATGAGTGACTAATTGAATGAGTGACTAACTCCTAATGTCAGTGTATAGGGATGTCTGTCCCACGAACTGCTATTATTTGTTTCTTTTGTGAAGCCCAGATCTCTCTCATCAGAGTCACTGCACTGGGAAGGGACTGTGCAGTGACAGTGTAGACCTATTCCAGTTCCCTCAGCCCTGCCCTCTAGAAGATGCCTTTCTTTTCCCTTCTTTTCCAAAACTAGAACTGGTAGAAGCCCCGCAGTCTCTCTCGTTCCCCTTGACTCTATCTCATCTGAATCACATGTTCTTTCTTTTAGATGTGGTACGTGGGAACGTGAGTGTTACTGTGTAATTCTTCATTACATGGACAATAACTTCCCTCCTTCCCCAAGGGTGTAAGTGTTGCATTGAAAGTTGCATATTCTCTTTTGATTCACTGAATTTGCAAATAATTTTTTTTCCCCCAGGAACAGAGGATCTAAGAATTTTGGAATCTAGAACTCTTGGGGGGAGAGGAGGAGAGAATGTATTGACTGAGTGTTTATTATGTATCAGGCTCCATATTAAACACTGTGGGTATCATTACAAACCAGCGACTCAATGCCTATCCTCAAGGAACTTGCATTCTATTCAGGGATGACATCACCTGCAGGAGATCTGGGGAATGAGTGGGAATGCAGGCTTGGTCTAGAGATTCTTAAGCTATCAGATGGATATCTAGTTGCTGGCAGGACGAGGTGCAGATTCTCATCCCAGTGTCCTGGAACCCAGGCAAAGTAGGAAACAAAGACTCCTAAAAATTTAGAGCCATAAAAGGACTTAAGAAAGGCACCTAGGCCAGTGTTCATCTGAAGGTAGACTCTCATGCTCTACAATAGCTCCCAAAAGGAATAAGAGCCTGACTGATAGGATTAGATTGGTTGGATGAGAAAGAAATGGAATAATACATAAGATTCTGAATGTCAGAACAGCTCACAAAGATGGCAGTCTTATTTGTTGCATTTTCCCCTGACAGAAGCCCCTCTTGCTCTTCTTTTCCTTCTGCCTGAAGCCATTTAAAGCCAGAGGACAACTTACTGGATCTCGTGTCTGATGAGAAAAATCCTTTCCCTCTGCTGACCCTTGCCATGGTCTCCTTGCCTGGAGTTATTGGAGCCACTTTCCTTGCGTGAAGACTCTCTCTGGATGGTGTGTTCCTTCCACCTGCTTTTCCTTACAATAAACTTCCCAGTATTTCAGCATGAGCAGAGTGGTCACTGCTTATTTTCCCCTCCCCTGGTTAAATCCTCTCCACTTGGGAATAACTGAGGCTGAGCTTGTGTTTCTCGTGGAAGCTCTCAAGGGAAGGGACTGAGTCCAGCACTCAGAATGGGCTTAATGCACCTCCTTGCTGCACTTGGCTCATAAGTTATGGGTATCAGTCAAGTCAGAGCTATAACTAGGAATTCTGGCAGTTGGAGAAAATTCATTTTAACGTGCGTGTGGTTGGGGGAGAAGAGGTTTGAAGTTGTGAGCTGTTGTGCATAAGGCAAACCAAGACTGGAACTCTTGGGAGTTCAGGAGAGTGAGAAACAAGGTAGGAGGGAGAGAGTATTGAAAACCATACAAGTACTGGACTGGCGCTGAAGTCTATGAGTGAGGTCCTGAATGTGCTGGGAAAGACAGAGCATGACATGGAGTTTTAAGGGGACGACTCCTAAAATCTGGAGAAGACTTAGTAAAACCTGATCAATGAGAAGATGTCCTTTGCTGAGTGGTGGTGCCAAAGGGAAGGCACGACAGCGGCAGAGGGGTCTTAAAGGCTTATCAGTCCTTCCTATGGTCCTCATAGTTCTGGGAATGTAAGACAGTTGAAGGACCAGCCATCTTAGAAGAGGGTAGCAAGAGAAAGAGTGACTTTAGGAAAAAGGTCGGGGATCACCAGAAGATGAAAGAATGGAAGGGGAAATAATGGAAGATAAAAGAGCATTTGTTTAGTGTGAAGGATGTTTCTTTTTTTTTTTCCTTTCAGCCAAAGACAAGATTTATTAGAACATTCATCATATTGGCCAGACTCTTAAGGAATCAAAGCATTTGCATTGGTAATGCAATCGGGCCAGATCTTAAGAATCTGAGCAGTGGCCAGATTTTAAGAATCTGAGCACCTTAAGGAGACAAGGTGAACCTTATATACAGAAAGACCGTGGGAGGGTTCTAGGAGTGACCAAGTAGTTCAGGGTGACTGGTGGAGGGGTGTAAGGAGAATCTGGATGGGAGTGGCCAGTAAGCTGGGGTGAACAGAACGCCAGGGACCTGGACCACGTGGCCAAGGGAGAATGGAGTCTAGATAGTGTTAGAAAAATCTGAAACAAAAATGTACTACAGTGAGTGAGTGAAAGAAAGTCTTTATTACGTTTCTCGTGAGAGAAGTGGGTACAATGCACTTTAGTAACACGTGGGCACTGGTTCAGTGGTAGAATCAACTTTTAAACTGTTAGTAAGATCCATACTCCACCCATCAGGGCTCCTATTGGTCTAGTTCATCTGAGTTACACCCTTCCTGGACAGCCCACCTCATGTTCGTCTATGTTCTGTTAACTCTACCCACTTCATGGGTCCCATGTTCAAAAATGGTGGCTATCTCTGCCCTTGGGGTGTTTCAGTTCATATTCAATAAGCTTATTAAGCAAGTGCAGTGGAGAAAAGCCTTTGACAAGTTGAAGCCCTGTCCTTGAAGCTGGCTGGTTGCAACCAGTTTAGCCTCTAGGTTTTTTTCTTAAGAACCAGTTGTTTATAGAAAAGTTTGGGGTACTTTCTGATTGGTTGAGGGACAATCCACAAGATCTTAGAATTCCCTATCCTGCTGTGGAAGCCTAACCCCCTACAATCTTTCTTACAATTCCTCCCTTTTCTTTTCTAGTAAAGATCTGGCTTCCACACATTCCCAATTTCCTTATCCTCTAATCTCTTTAACATGATTTCACATTCCCCATCCCTGGGGAAAGTCTCATTGGTACTTTCAATCAACATCCTTATATTGCCAGAGCCTGCCCTCTGAACTCCCACTGTGTGTTCTACTGGGATAATCTTAGTGAGGGACATCCCTAGCAATTGTTGTACCAGTCCTCTAATGCATGGAACTATACAACATCCTACAACATTTCAACCACAACTAGGTTAGCGAGAATGGATACAGCCATTCCTTTTCCATTTGCCAAGCCAGGATTCTAACTATCCCTTTAATCAACTATCTATCCCAGAGTTTTCTGCTAACTCCTCAGCTAAAGTAGTTGAACCTTGCAGTGCCTTAGTGACAGTTCTATGTGGGGCTGTGCTGCTGGACAACATTTCATCAAGGGATTTTGAGCAACAATATGGGAGAAGAAAGGGAGGAATTGACCGACGCATTGACAAATTAAAGAGGGGGCAGTCCCCTTATTAAGTACAGATACAGAGACCCAAAGTAAAGATAAATTGTCCATTTAAAGCTTCAGAAGTCTCTTCTCATACAGCTGTCTGACACTCTGGACATCATCTGGTGAAGTCCTCTGGTCTAAGTGCCGTTCAAACAGTGTCCAGCAGACTCTCTCCTTGTAGACATCCGTGGAGGATGTTTCTTAAGAGCACGGTATAAAAGATGCAAAAGAGGATAGTGACTGGGGAGAATTAAGGCTGAAGATGGAGACAGTGACTGGTCTTTGACACCTTAGTAACTCACATCTTTCACCAAACACCAACTTCCACCTTTTATGGAGAGCACCCTATGTATGACACTTCCCCAGAGCAGGGAGAACGCTGGTGGCTTGACAGATTTGTGCAGAAGAAGGTTGGGACAGCCACAGGATCTTGGGTTGCAGCCAAGGTGCTGGTGATGGGGGGCACTGACTGCGGGGAGTGGATCTAGGGCAAAGGAGATACACTTGCTGTCCATGAAGTCTGATTGGCCTGTGCTAATTTCACCTCTGAGTCCTTCCTTAGTGACTAAGCAGTTGTGCCAGTATATCAATTAACCTTTCTGGACCAGTTTCTGCATGGAGACAATAAAAGGCATTTGCTCATTGATTTGATCTCCTCATAATTTACCTCCCTTTCCTGACTAATGACGGGAGAAGCATTGGACATCAGACAAGGAGAAACAAATGCACCACAATTTCTCTTCTCAAATATCCCAATTCCCTGTTGTCTTCTAGCACTAGCAGATCACAAGAAAATAATCCACATGAGGGGATCCTCTTGGGCTGCCCATGCAGTGCAGTGACACATTTCTTTGAACCCTCAAGGCTTATTTGGGTTTTTCCTCTATTCCGTTCATCTCATTTTTCCCCCTAAAGACAATTAGGTGTGGGCAAGCAGACAATCTACTAGTAATATACATTGCCTTTCCCTTTCCTTAAATACTGCCTGGAAAAGCAGGGCTGTTAATCACAGTAGACTGCACCTGCCCTTCCTCTCTGGTTTGGGTTTTCTTCAGTTCTTCAGAGAACCAATAGTATTTCTTTTTGGTCTGTTTTCTTTTTCCAGTATAATTTTATTTTTTCTTTTTGTAACCTTTTTTATTTTAGACTGAAATACACAATAAAAGAATAGGAACCATAAACTTAAATGTTAAAACAAATACAAAGTAAAAAGCAAAAGGGACATATCATATGCAAAGGAGAATGTAAGAGAGGATTCAACCTATATAGCAATAAATTTCCATTTCAAAAAAGCCTATGTAATTAATGCTACTAAGTGAGTTGTTGACAGCTATCCATCTTTTCTTTGCTTCTTTGTAAATCTTCTTTTGTTGTCTCTTCCTCTTTCTCATTTCCTACAAGCCTTTCTGAATTTCTCATAAACCTTCCACGTTATAATTTTTATTCATTTACATTTCAATTAATTTTATTTTCCTGAAGATCTGCTTTCTCTCCCTCCCTTTAACCCTACCTCCATTTGGAAAGCAAAAGTAAGAAAATGTGTCTTAGCAGGTCCTCTATCCAAGCAAAACAATTTCCATAATTGGTAGTGCAAGGAAAAAAAGTCTCACTCTACACTCTGAGTCTATCACCTCTCTGTCAGTATCTGTGTAATGTATTTTAGCATGAGTTTTCTGGAACTCTGTTTGTTACCATGTCGATAAGAATGCCTGAATCTTTCAAAGTTGTTGTTTTGTTTTCTTTTACCTTTGCAATGATGTTGTTATTGTACAAATTGTTCTCCTAGTTCTCCTTGTTTCACAATGAATCCATATGTAGGAGTCATCCCAGGTTCTTCTGTAACCATTGTCTTCATAACTTCTTAAAAACAAAATCATATCAGTATATTCATATGCCAGAACTTGTTCAATCACTTTACAATTGATGGGCTCTCCCAATGTTTCCAAATTCTTTTCCACCACAAAATGAGCTGCTATAAATATTTTTGTATATGTGGGTCTTTTCCACCAATCTTTGATCTCTTTTGTTATAGGCCTAGTAGTGATATCACTGGGTCATAAGATCCACACATTTTCCTAACTTGGGGACACAGTTTCCAACGTGCTTTCCACAATGTCTATACCAGTTGACAGTTCAACCCATGGTGTTTTCAAGTACCTAGACTCAAGAAAATCAGAAAAAAAGTGAAGAAGAAAGGGATATCAAAAGGGACTCAGTAAGGTTAAGCTGTTTCCATTCCTACATGAGAAGATGACACTTGTAACTCATAAAATTTTCCTATTATTCGGGCAGTTAGTCAGAGTATACCTAGACAGAGGGCACAAGTGTGACTTGCATATGATGGCATGATATCTAAAAAATAAAATTAAGGAGTGAGAAAGAGGAATGTATTGACAGAAAAGGAAAGTAAAGGGATAGAATTAGGGTAAATTATGTCATGTAAAAGGGGCAAGAATGAGCTTTTACAGTGGAGGGGAAGATGGGGAAGATGGCATGGAATGCTCGATTCTTACTTTCATCAGAACTGGGTAAGAGAGGGAATAACACACACACTCAATTGTGTATAGAAATATATCTTACCCTACAGCAGAGTAGGAGGCAAAAGGGATAGAACAAGGTGGACAATGGAGGAATCAGGGAGGGCACGTGGAGGAGGAATACTGATAGAGGGAGAGTTGATTATTGAAGGTGGTAGTCAGAAGCAAACACTTTTGAAGAGCTACAGAATGAACGGAGAGAAAGAATAGAATAAACAGGAAGGAACTAGGATGGAGGAAAATACAGTTAGCAATCATAATGATGAAAAAAATTTTGAAGCATGCTTCTCTGATAAAGGCCTCATTTCTCAA